GTATTTATTTTCATATACGAATATAATCAGCTTTTTGAAAGCGGGCAACTGATAACTATTTAAAGACTTTGTTGATGCTGATTCACCTACACGACCGAAACGTGAACAAATACATATCTTTCTATAAATAAAATTTGAATATAAAATTACGCGACACAATAATCTTTGCAACGGATTTTTTTTTAAATAAATTAATATCCAGAAAGAGAACAAAATGTCACGCTCATCCCCCAATCATTTTTCCTCAGTAACTTTTAGGGTTCAATCTTCTTTTGCAATCTACAGCCGGATTCGAGTATTCGAGTCTGTTATACCGCATGCAGAGGTCTCATTTGCCGCCAATTCCAAGGCCAGTTCAGATGCAATTAATTCACGCACAGCTATGAGATCCAGTGTTAACTTCGACTCAAAAGTTTCGACTGCACGGATGGCGTAGTGGTTTAAGCGGTCGCCACGCCGCTTCCTACTACGCCGAGTGTTGTGGGTTCAAACCCCACATGGGACGACACTTTGTGTGATCCACAAATTGTTGTTCCAAGTCTGGGTGTTATTTGTGTCCGTTTCATGTATGTTTGTAAAGTCCCCCGCGACACAGGATATTTTCCTAATGCGGGAGTTGTCTTTTTAAAACAAAGAAAGTTTATATCTTTAGGCTCAAAAAAATTGCACGTTTGGTGTTGGCTGGTTTAAAAAAAGTCCTAATTAGGTAATAATATATGTATTTAATTCAGGAATATTTTTGTTTGAACATAAATCCGCGTATACCGTAAAATTTTTAATGGTTATGAGGTGTCTGTTTAATAATGACATCTTCGTAAGTGACCAAGGAGCCTGAACACTTTAAGGTATTAACCTTCCCGCAGATCCAGCGAGACCGTGGACCACGACTACCTGCCCACTTATTAAATCTGTATTTGCCTAAAAGGATAACTGGCCTTCCTCGTTGTGATACGGAAAACTGAGGCACTGAAATAAAGTTACACATTACTTAGACGCACAAAAGTTATTAAAAATATATTAATGTTACATTAATCCTTAGAAAATACAAAACAAAGAAATGTGTTATCTATAAAATTCACATATATGTGGCGGTATAAATGCTAGTCCCCTTACACCAGATCTTTGATTACATAAGTGCTAAAATTTAAGTAAAATACTTACGTGGTTTCCAATCGCCGGAATTTAATAAAGTACCTTATTGCCCGGTTTCTACTAATATCGTGAAAAAATACAACATCAATTCTCATAAAAATGATAAAACAAAATTAATGCAAGTCCTTTTAAACCATTTAATTTGTTGAATTTTATTTCGTCGTACCTTCATTACGATGTACATATCTATAACTCTTAAGTACGCATAACAGTTACAGCATCATTAAAGATTGCTTGTTTCATTAAAGTGCTTGACATCCTTAAAGTTGAAATTTTGGCCAGATTTGATTTTTCTGTTGTAACAAATCTATCGAAAAGTTCAATTAGATACCAATAAATGTTGCCAACATTCACCAAAGAAGAATATTAGGAAGTAAATATACTTAAAGAATTAGATGAATCAGTGTATCTCCATAAATAACGATATAGGTATATCTGAGATCAACTTACAACGTAAATTATATGAATTAATTTCAATGATTGTGTTCATACAATTTTGTGACTACTATATTGTCTATTGTGACGAGTTTCGCACGACACTTCAGCTGTTGTTTGACGCAAGTCCAACGAGCTTGCGTGCTGTTCGATGTTTTCAAATTGTATCTGTGCCGGCCTAGCAGAATAACGGGTTTGCCGTACCTTGATAGTAAAAACACGGGCTCTGAAACACAAACAGCTTCTGTTACAAATTTTGGTTGCCAGAATCGTTTAAAATTAGAAGTCGTTTAACGATTTTTTTATGACGTTAAAAGGAATTTCGTTAATTGGTTAATTAATTATACTTACAAAGTTAGTGTACGCACTTTGAAACGCGTTCGTATGAAAGTTAAAAAATAAAAAAAAACACAAGAACTGTAAAATGTTCTTATATTTTATGTCTTATATTTATTCATTAAACTTGCTTCGAAAATAACAAGATAAAAGAAAGAAGGTAGCAAATGGGAAAGACTTCCTACATATAATCGAGAAATGCTTTAATGACTTTTTACAAGAACTAAAAACGACTAGTGACTGTTACAGTGACTTCTCTATAGTAAATAAGCGATAAGTATAAATAATAATAAGCAATATTTCAGATAATGACAATAAATACTTTATTGACTTAGAATATGTATATTACAATGTATTTTTAACCGGTTTATGCCGAAGACTTAATTGGGCACTTCAAAAAATACGTAACAACAAAGTTAAAAATATGCTTTGTATCACAAAAAGTCTTGAATTTTTGCATTGCATTGCAATAAAAAATTTCGATGGTACTATTCTCACACATTTACAATAAGTTAGTAACACGGATCTTGTGCTTAGATAAATCGTGTCACTATTTCTGTGCAGAAAACGAATGCAAAATAATGTATAATTTTTTTTCTTCAACTTCAGCAGCAATCAAGGGTGGGTAAAGACTTTCTTAATTATATAGTTTTTTGTAGAACAGTCCTTATTTCAGTTTAAAGTTAACGCATCCAAATATTTATTGTTATTAATGAGTGTGATCACAAGGGTATTGTACGATTTTATCGAATACAGTAATAATAGTTGCCTTGCAGTAGTTTTTCTTAACACACAGCCATCTAATTCGGGGACCAGTGGAACAACAGAATTTGTTATATCGATATCGACCCAATATGAGTACAGGTTTACCAAAGCGAGATGTTGAAAACACCGGTGTGCATTCTGCAAAAAAAAACCACAAACAATTTTTCGTTTCTCGTAGATAAATTAAAACATGTATGTTATTACCACAAATCTGTTCATCATAAATCTAAAACTATATGATATTTTCAAACATTTTAATCAAACATTATTCTTTCATTATGCCATTCCCTAAACTTTCTGACAGATGTATGTATATGAAGTGTATTATGTACTCGGATATGTAGTGTCGATGAACTACTAAACCTAGTAGTCCACCAACACTACAACTTTTAGTTTGTTTCTGATTCTTTTTTAATTTCTTATGTACTTCTACGAAATAAAACTGAAAGTAAAAGTAACTACCTATGGTAATGATTTCTTATTTCGTGTTTCATTTCGAAATTCCATACAACAGTTCACCTTACTTTATTGGAATGGGGTGAATTAAAAAAAAAACTTACTTGGTGGGTGCTTAAATCATAAAAAAGAATTAGCTGTTGAAATTTCATGTTTGTAGCCCCAGCGGTTTAGGCTCTGCGTTGATGAAGCAGTCACTCAAGACTAGTATTTTTATAGGTATAGACATATGTATTACAAAAACCAACAACTGGCGCAAACTTAATTGAGCACAATGGTTTTCCAATCTTGTTGTATTTATTGTACACGTGAGAAAAAATGAATGAAATTATTACTATTATTATTTGGAATTTAAATGGTCACAAATGTATAAACTAAATAACTGAAAAATACTGAAAAACTTTATTTTTTGTGAAATAAAACAACAAATCTATTGGTCACACTTAATCTCAATACAATCTACATATCTGTACGTAGATAATGTAAGTATTCATAAATCCTATTAAATAATATGCACAATCTTTTTATAACTATAAAATTAAAATATTTTTTATTTACATAATTCAATTTGCATTAATGCATAATGTTACGAATCTGTTTTCGCATTTAAACCTTGTCCGTTATTAATAATTAATAAAAAATAGTTTACAACATATCCTACTTTAAAGCTAAGTAAGCGTATATTCATAGAAATATAAACTAAATATGGCATCTACAAAGCCACTGTCGCGTGTAACACTATTAATACTGTTCTCTTTAATTTCAAGCATAAGTAATTACAGAGAAGCGTTCAAATAACCCGGAATACCTAGCACAAACTCAGATAAACCACATTTGTGCAATAACGGCTTTAGATTATCGCTAAATACCAAGGCATTTAACCAATGCGTCCTACCCGTAATGACAAATGGAGCCGAGACGTGGACACTCGCCGTTGGACTGGTTTACAAGTTTAAAGTCGCTCAGCGTGCGATGCTGGCAGCGTGTTTCTCTAGTCAATAAAATTCTTAACTAAGTTATTCAACAGAGAATTAGAGTAATCGACATCAGAATCAATATGCTAAAGTGATGGTGGTTGGAGCGGAAATGTGCTGGAGCGAAGACCGCTAGTAGGCAAACGTAGTAGCCTGCGATACGATGGATCGACCACTTAAAGTCCGTGGCTGGCAGCGGATGGATGTGGACTGTCCAAGATTGGGATAGATGACCGATTGACCAAAGCTGGTTGCAGATGTGACCACCAGACCTTGCACCTACCGACTATTACTTTTTCCAAAATTTAGACAACTTTTTAGTGGGTAAAAAAATCAATTCCCGAGAGGCAGTACAAAATGCCTTTGAAGAGTTTGTTGCCTCCCGTCCAGCTGATTTTTACAAGAAGGGCATCAATAAACTGCCAATGCGTTGGCAAAGATGCGTCGATTGCATGGGTGATTACTTCGAATAACAGAAATTAAAAAGTTAGAAAAAATAAGTACTTTCACTTATTGCATACAAAACGGCAATTATATAGGTAAAGACCTAATATTATTAATAATAATAAATGTATACCTATTATCCCAGAATTAAATTTAAAATGAGAGTAAATGATGAGTCAACATTAATAACATGTCAAAATAGCATGATGAAAAAGAAGCTAAAATAAATGAACGCTTTTTAAGAAGAGAATTACAGTAAGACACCTTCTCAAATATACGGCTGAGTTTTGTCTATGAAGAATCGTAATTAAATCTCTTGACGTATGGTTTAAGGTTTAACTCGAAATTCATATGGCATTAGTGTAATAAGTTAAAAGTAAAATGATAATGCGATATAGCAAATACTTTTAAAATTGCTGCCTTGGCACAAATTAGTATTCATAAATGCGTGTGATAGTTTTTAGTTCTGATAATGACGTTGTCAATAGTGGTGATCGTGGCTCTGCATCCTTGCTGATTCTTTACACAAGTCCACCGAACTTGAGCACCTTTACTGCCACTCCACTTGTTATAGCGGTACTTTCCCACCACAATTACTGGATTGCCGAATCGAGTTCTTTCAAACTTGCAATCAATATAACCTACAAAAACAACGGTACAGTTTAGTTTAAACTACAATCAATTATGCCGTTATATAGTGCAATACATTTAAGTTTTTGTATATACCTATATATGTATATGTTACGGTACTGAAATAAGTAGATGTTAAAATCTACAGTTAGATATCTTGTAAAACCAATAAATAAATAAAGATGGGCAGCAAACATCTTACATCGTCGAAAAATGAAGAAACATAAAACATTAAATTAAGAAAACTTACACTTATAAACATTTTTTTAAATAATAACCAAATAAAATCTAACTGCAGAGCAATATGTTATTTCTATTAAATTGTCTTCTATTAAAAAAAAAAACTTTATTGACCTACTAATTGACATAATTAGTATTTATTGTTTATCGACTAACTGTTGTTTTTTTTTTCAATGTTGCAAGTATAAATCAGTGGGTATATTATTTGCAGTAATAAGTCATGTTCGTAATCCATGGCTCTGATGGTTGCAATCGCACTATCATTAAATCCGACTTTTATTAGTTAAGTTAATAAAATATGATACATATAATCGTCATACTTCTTGTAAAATAATATAAATAATCATTTTATAATTGTTAACATTTTAACAAATATTATCTAAAACTTATGAGTGATTATGTATGATTGTGATCATTTAACTCTTTGACGATTTGATTACCGAATGTGTAAATTCTAGCCTTACACCCGACTGCCACCCTGACGCACACCCATCTAGCTCTGCCACCGCTACTTCCAAGACGTTGGTTAAAACGAAAGCCTCGGTATTCTAACGCTGGTTTACCATATCGTGATAGCAAGAACTTCAATGCTGTGAGAGAAATGTATTAAATTTAATTCTTAGTTAACGACTCGAATACCGGACGTTAATCATATGAATGCTTATTAAGAGTACAAAACATGCTACGAGCATGTTACAAGTATAGATCATGCAAAATTCTCTTTATTTTAAATCAACAAAGTTTGAAGGCCTTAATGCAGTACATCCAGGAAACGATATACTTAAGATGTGCGCTTTAAAATACAATTAGACATCACAACATGAAATCTTACCAATCGTTACCCTGAAAATTAAACCTAAAGATTATAATTAAGAAGTTTTCCTGTAGTAGTAGGTAACCAAACTTTATTTTATTATAATTTTATTATAAACAAAAATATTTTAATCACTATAATGCTATAACAATCACTGCGTCTTGTATATTCTTATAAAGATTTTGTACATTGGTTTAATTGGATTAAAACAGTACATTATATTATTTAATCAAGGCACAAGATTGGTGTATGCCAGCAGCATACATAACAACAAAAGTCTTGTAAATCATACCTTAACAATATACCATAATAAAAATATTTAATTCTTATCATTGACATTTTTACCTCGTACCCAGTTTCAGGTTAGTGACTACATATTATTATCAACATCTTACATTATTGCGCAATTCGAACTAACGCAACCCGTTCGCTATCGTTATTCTTTGCACACTTTTCAACATGGTTCTTAAGTACATAATTATATGGTGTTGAGAGTAATTTCCTATATCTGTAATGATTGCAGCGGTCTACAAATGATCAACCATCTGTACAATAACATTATTAAGTTGCCGTAACAGATGTACCAATTATAACGATGCTCACTTTTACACCTAGCATTCTAACCATTTTTTTTCATTGCGCCTGGACGACGTATTTATCGACATCCTTCTTTTAAACGTTATTATATGGATGTTTTTTAAATTCAATCGTTTCAAGCTCAATGTCGAGTATGTTCGTTAAGAATTTTAATGATCTCATCATGAATAGTTATGACAGTCGCTCGGCACCCGGAACTTTTGCTTGTGCATATCCAACGGATCTTGGGCTCCCGTGACGAACTATGAGCGCTAAATCGATATTTCCCCATAAGTAGAATCTTCCTATTATGTGTCGTTTTAATAATGCAAAATTCTGGAAATAAGTTAACAATAAATTCTCTGTGTAAAACATGATATACATACGATCACAGAACCAACTCCCCGAGTACATTATACCAAACTTTACCTTTTTTTTCATCAAATAATCCGAAGCGTATTTTTTAATAAAACATGTTTAATATAAAGTCCAAGATATTACCAAATAATACGTAGACGTTCAAATAACGTTTTAGTTATAAAGTTATAGATTTATTTATAGAGAGAGAATTTAAAAAGGCACTTAAAATAGAGTATTTTTAATGAATAATAAAAAAAATCATAGATGTAACTTCAGAACTTAACAAAAAAGCAACCATAACTGTTATATTTATTATTAAATATACTTAGATGATTTGGTTGATGACGGCGTTCATCTCTACCAAACTACATTACTCGTATACGTTAGTTAATAAGGCACACATATTTTGGTCTCACGAATATCAAAACCCAATAACGGTAATTTTTTATGCCATTAAAAAACTAGATCGCTCTTGCATAGTATAGGAAAATTAAAGTGTTGATGACCAGTATACATTTAAATTGACAAGTAATGCGTATGCTAATAGTGAAAACTGCATCGTAGTGCATTTATTCAGTTATCCAACTTGCAAAGATCTTACAACCATTTGAGATCTTAGACAATACTATAAAATGTTCTAAACTTAGTGATCTAAAGGTTATATTACCCTGCTATAAATGATGTTTTTACAAACGATATTATTCAAGTTATTATATTAATAATAATCCGGAAAAAACCCCAAGTCACCTTTGTTGAAAATTGTATATCAAACCCACAAAACTGTAAGCAAGATTGGCTTTCTCATGATTACAGTTTAGTACTAATATTATATATTAAACTTAAACATCTATAATAAATCTATATTTAAGAAAAGGAAAAATTTAATGTTTAATATAATCCTAATAATTTAATAATAATCCTAGATAATAACAAAATCTTTGCGAGTTTGACTTAAACTTATAATCAAAAAAAAATTATTATCTATCAATTCTTAAACTTAAAAAATATTTGTTTCCAGTATGATAAGACGTATTTTTACTAGTTCCGTAGTTGGATATTTAACTTTAAGAAGCTATATCTAATAATTTGATATAACTAAGTACAAAACAAATAGGAACTAAAGATTGAATACATACATGTAATAAACAAGTGCTTTAAAAATATACCAGTTATTCAAAGTGTATCACTTTGTTTAGAATACGCTATTTAAATTTTTTATGAATATTTTATATGTTTATTTAACGTCCTATACGTTATTAACATGGTATGTTATTATTGAATATTATAAACATGTTAACATGTTAAAAGATTAATAAGTTCGATTTATTATATTAAAAAGTTTTACAAAATAAAATAACAATTGAGAAACTCGTTTCCATTGTTGCAACCATTGAGTTCGTAAGATCTAAATTTATGTTCTTAGATCATTGACATATAAATGATCTAAGTTTGTGTCCGTTTAGTTTTTGCATTAAATGCACCTACCTATAAAAGTAAACAATCTTGCAAAACTAATTAAACATTTACATGCTAAAGTTATAACTTTGTCGATGCTGGAATGTAAACACTTTATATGGCTCTTATTATCTATTCTAGTACAGAAAAATAAAATCAATTTAATACCCTTGTCAAACATATATTTAACTCTAAATATTTTTATTAAGTCATCTTACTGACTACCAACTTTTTTGGTAAGCTAATAAAGAACCTTCAATGCGTTTAAGAATTATTGTTGCTATTTCTTCCTAAGACATAGGTGTTCAGCAACTTAACAACACGAGATATAATATAACATACATATAAGGAAATTAGCAATTATAGCAAAAAAATATCAAAGTCATAGAAAAATGTAACTAAAAAATCAAAAGATTGAATGCAACTTAAAGATAATAAAGTAAATATAAACGAATATATCATGTATGATTATGTTCTCCACTTGTTTGGACAATGACGTCATCTTTGGTGAACAGAGAAGCTTTACATTTTTTTAAATGACATATCCAACGTTGTTGGTTCTTTTTCGTCATCCGTTTCTGCATATAAAATTTATGGAACCCCACCAATATCACTGGTTTGCCCGCCCGTGTTCTCCCAAAAACTGGCACTAAAATAAATGTAACCCAATACATGAGTCAAAAGAACAATGAACAAAAAGATAAAAGTTTGCAGAGACATTATGGTTGGGCAAAATCATTATGTATATGATCGTGAGATGCATAAGATGCGTGTAGTGGTACCATCTCTACGTTTTGTAATTGTAATACGTTATAATATAACACAACATAGACTAAGCAAAGTACTAAGTGATAAATAGTCCAAAACTACGATGAACCACTTATCTTAGTCGATGCTTATTAAAATATATTTATATATATATATATTTTTTTTTATATATATTTATATATATATAAATATATTTATTCTGAATTTAGTGCTGTAAAGATGGGTAAAGAGAAATGTTTCTATAATATGTTTATCTCAACGAGTTTTTTTATAGTTGATTAGTTTATTCTATATAAAAATGTACATGTGTAGCAGTAAATTTTAGCAAAAATAATATGTTTTCTTTAGGACAATGAAACATGGCATGATGGGTGACAGGTGTATACAATCTCTTGACAATGTAATGGTCATCACAACGTATGGTATTATATCTGTTACAATCCATCTAATCTTAGAGGTACCGTTCGACAGTTCTGACAAATTGAAGTATAGCGATAAGGTCAAAGAAATCGATTACTAAAATATCTATCCATCTCATCATCATATCATCTATCCATAGATACCCAACACGAATGGGTTTGATGAAAAAAAAAATTGAGTTTCAACAGTATAGTTCTTATAGTTTCAGAAAAAAGTGGCTCTGACATACGGACGGACAGACAGACAGACATGACGAATCTATAAGGCTGCCGTTTTTTGCCATTTGGCTACGGAACCCTAAAAAGTATGTAAGTTAATGTAATTTTAAATAAATCTTTGTAGGCGAAAATCGCTCGTGGCCAAGTCTAATGTATACTAAGATTTATTAGTAAAACCTACGATGTGCCATTATACGGGTTTTAAAGTAACATACAAAAATCTGTAAAACTTTAATCGATTAGTACATAAGAAAGGATATCGAAATCTCTTAAAAATCTGATATTTTAGTAATCGATACGATTACGAGTACGATTTCTTTGACCATATCGCTATACTTCAATTTGTCAGAACTGTCGAACGGTACCTCTTAGATTAGATGGACTATAGTACATTTAAATATTTTACAATAAGGTTTAGAAGTAAACGAATTGCTCTAATCACTTATGTAATATTCTCATTTCGGCACACTCCATATATGACAAATGTATGGACATTTTCTAGTTTTGCGGTGCTAGTACGATAGCGTTATTTGGCAATTCGATCACGGTAAACTATTAAAGGAGAGCCCTTCGCTTAATCCTTAATGTATGCAGTGGTTGCAACTCACGTTTTCTGCAATATTTTTTTTACATAAACCATCTATAGTTTGTTTATTGATTTTAGTTTGTTCGGATTGACTCGAATTCTATAACTACCATCTTTACCCAAAAGAGGACAGCAACTAGTCAGTAACAGTAACATTGGGCGATGCTATCATCGTTTCAAACGTCTATCCTTTACACTAATTCACCTGTAAGTGTCTTAAAAATACATCAAACTCACAGCGGACTTCAAAGTTTATCTACTCAATATGTAATAACCGCGAACGCAGTTGACGACACTATGTAAACATATTTAATGACGTAAAATAAAAGATTCTTGTAATGATTAGTTTTTGTAATATTTCAAACATGAAATTATTCAATTCTACATCATATACCTTTTATTATGTAGAACAAATAAAACATTTAATACGAAACAAACCAGCAAGGAAACAAAACCTATATATTGTTACATGGCGTACAACATACATGGTATCATTCAGTTTATAATTTACTGAAAATAGACGACAGTAAATACAGGAAATAAAATAACTTACCGTTATATGACAGATTAGATTTTTAATAATACAGCAAAAATAAAAACCGGACGTTTTAATCCTAGTCTTCGACACAACTTATTGTCTATTTTACTCAAAACTAAGCTTTTAGTTTACTTAGACGGTGGAAGAAACTAATACTAATTATATTTAATATAATTATAAAATATTTAATGCAGATGCTCATTGGTAGTCTTGATGATGACATCGTCTAACGTTAGAATAGCCGCCCGACATCCTGAAGAGCTTTTAGAACACAGCCATCGTCTACGACGACCACACTTAGAGACATGTGATCGATTAAACCGATAGGGTCCCAATTCTATTACGGCATTACCGTAACGACTCGTACTAAACACAGGAACTGTAAGAAAGACATACATATCAATAAGTGAAAGTAAACTAAAATTAGAAAACAAAATCAAATTGTAATAATATGAACCGACTGAAAGGATTCTTTATTAACGTCCCAGAAAAGTCGTGAGGAATGTTTGTATAGAAGAAATCCAGAGGTCTCTACCTTCCTCGGATGCAGTTTTATGAATAAACTACCTGAGCCCCGTGTTACTCGCGGTTGTTATCGTACCTTGCTCATCCCATGGGAACACTACATTTTTTCGAATTTAAAAGTAGCCTATGTGCTATTCCAGACTATTATCTATCTCTGTGCCAAATTTCATCCATATCCGTTCAGCTGTTTTTGCAAGCGTAACAAGCATCCATACATCCATTTCGATTTTATACTATTAGTAAGTTTATATAATATTAAAAAAGAGCAGGGCAGACACATGACCTTTTAGAGACCGCCTTTATCCAAGGTCGGAACTGACATAACCTTACAATCGTACATACCCTGTCCCTGCTCAAAGAGCAAACTAAATGCGGTACCCGTGCAAAAATGTTTTCTAACTGGTTTTTAAAGATATTTAATGCGCATGGATATAAAATTGTTTGTAGTGACATACATTTACATAGATACATATGGATTTGTTGCTTTCTAAGAACTAACATTATCGTAACAACCGTAGGAAATAATGCAAGCCATTTGTATTACAAAACAACTTTTGTAGGTTAGGCACATTTATTGTTTCGATTACACTTTTACTTTTTATAGTAAAATCTTATAAATTGTATCCATGTATAGAATTACTTACTAAAATTCCGTGTTTTATCCACAATCTATAACACACTAAGTAAGTAAACCTTGTTTTAGAAGATGAACATTATTATTTAAAAAACATTTTTAAAACGAATATGGATTTGTCGTATTAAAGACGGATGACAGCAAAACTAAAATAAGATTCAAATAATTATACATTAACAAAATTTATTATGTATTAATCAAAAACTATTAATACTTAATAATTAAAAAAAAATACAAAACCCTGATAGTAAAATTAAAACATCACCACCCATCCCCATCATCATCATTATCATCATCATCAACAGCCTATAACAGTCCACTGCTGGACATAGGCCTCTCCTTAGAAAGGAGGTTTTGGCCTACTATACCACGCTGGCCAGACGGGTTGGTATAGGGTTTGTTTCAAGTTTTCCTTCTCTTTGCAGTGCTGTTGTCCTGCTTAGTTTGCTCCCTTAGTCGGCTCTTACGACACCCACGGGATGAATTGGGGTGGTGACAATTTGTATTCTTAATCCGTCACCACCCATCCCCATAAGTTAGCTTATTCATGTATTTACGAAATCTGTAAGAAATAGATGGTGTACGGACAGGTTTATTACGACTACAGGCATATTATATACAAACAAGTTAGATACACCACCAACGCACAAAACGCGAGGGACCTAATTAGGATCACGGCACACGTAAATTTTAATTCGAGAAAATTCAAAAAATGCCTTCCTGTGTATTCGGAAAGTGCACAAAATACGACAAAAAGGTAAATAAAGGTAAAGGAATATCATACCACAGGCAAGTATATGTTTTGTTCTAAAATGCATTGATAGATACATTTTTTTTCTGGTGCAGTTTGAATATAACGTATCTTCCTTAAAATATCATTGACTACTGGTTTTTATACTACTATATTAATAGGTTTATGATATTACTCATTTAATATATTTTTCCGATGAATATCTGTCTTTTTTTTAAGTACAATCTATGGATCTAAGTGCTATCAATATTTTATAGAATGAATTGAATTAATGAATATTTAATTTTAAACGATAAACAAATCTTTAGTGTTAACAATTAAAATAAGTAGTTATAGAATCATTTTTTACAAAAAAGGTACAAGTTTAACACAATTCAGTTAAATATGACTTTTAAACTTTCGCACTCCACGATAAATGATTATAACGAGTTTATTCTTGTATATAAATATGATTGTACAAGTCAGTACGGTGAGACTCTCCTCCTTTTTAAGTCAATTAATTAGAACATAATTAGTTAAAAATCATGACAGTAGGTCTTTGTTCTTCACCACCTCTGCATCAGTCGTTAAATACAAAAATCTAAAGATAAACTATTATGAATGACAGTGTTCATTGTTATGCTGGATGATTACATTCTCTACAGTGTACATGGTGGATCGACAACCGCCCGGGAATTTGACACAAGTCCAGCGAGTCTTTGGACCCTTGCTGTTACTTGCGCGGTTGTAACGGTATGGGCCATAGTTAATCACTGGATTACCAGCCTTAGTCACACCGAAAACAGCCACTGAAAATATAATTTCCATTTTAGTTGCTGCAGACGCTGAGGCCGTTGTTTACAAACTATTTAAATATTAGACAAACTATAAAACCGTTTCTCGACACAGCTACTAGATATATCAATCATCATCATCTCAGCCGTAAAACAGCCGACTGCTGGACATAGAGCTTTAAAAATATAAATAAATAATGTAATCCCTAATTCGACGTCTTTCGGCTGATATGTAAATAAACACAGGTAATTCTAAAAAAAAACAGGTTTGAATCCACAATTTAGGATTCGTATCTTTTTAGACACTGTGACTTTTCATATATAATACATTTACAGAGAAAATTTACACATGTTTTTAACACAATAGACTCTATCATTGATTTTCGTAACTAAGGTCATCAAAAATCAAGAAAAAGAAAACACAAAAAAAAATCTCCCAATGAAATTTTACTAATTATTTACTTATTGAAATACGTAAAATAAAAATTAAATAAAACACAAGGACCAGGTGGAAAATGTCGTTGAGGTTCCAAATGTAAGAAAAACAATAATCAAAACCCAAAATATTCAATATGGTGAAATAGGGATTCAGTTTAGGGGTTGAAAACGATTTTTCGGAAAATGTACAATGCACAAGCTGTAGATAATAAAAAAATCTAAAACACACACTCTAGACACTTTTTGACATAACCCTAAATTAACCGTCAAATTAGTGTAAAAAACCGATTTTTCAGTTTTTAATTATTTTTTATTTATGTAGCGCCCCCAACCATCTTGATAAGTTAAAGTAAATTTAATGTTTAGATGTAGAATTTTGTGATGGTAACATTTATAATTTTGGTTTTAAAATACATAAAAACAAGATGATTATAACCGTAGATTGTCGTCTTTGCATGAAGCTACAAGTGTGTACCTACTTTTGATTTGCTTCTGAATAATAGTATCGTGTCAGAACGAAATTAAATAAATACAGTATTATTCTAAATATAGATACTTAACAAATCAAAAAATACAAATGATGAAGTTCTGTACAACGAAAGTTTTTTAAGATTTTAAAATAACTAATTTACTGGACTTAAATATTTCAGACTAACTGAATAAAGTAGCAAATAACTACTTCTAGTTATAAATAATAGTAACGTGTTAAGTA